AATTTGTGAATGATTATATATTTATTTATCGTTATGTATCTTGCTTTTTACATAATTAGATATACGTAATAATCATTATTGTAAACTCACATTAATTATTTTATGCAATCAAAAGGAAATTTGGAAGTTTCTGTTGCATTACGATTACGCTGCCAATAGTAGCGGAACGTGTTCGGCACTGGCCTACCATGAAATCGGTAAATCGCGCTTAAAAATCGTATGTCTATAGTGAAGTAACAACAACCTAGCGATTCACATTCATTAGTATTTTTTATTTTCTATTTTGCACTCTAGATTGTATTTGTGTGACCCTAATTTCGTATTAGGGTTACCAACAACTTGTTCCCACCGTTTTTACTGCCGCAATTTATTTTAATATGTAGATAACATCCACATAAAAGGCGTGATGGATTTATTGCGAAAAGTTCATTTATTTTATTACAACCTGTATTCCTACGGAATTTTGCTTTGCTTTCGTGAATTTAAATTAAAAATAGTCAATGTACTTATTTAGAATATAGTCTGTGTACTGCATTTTATCGTCGGCTCATTTTTTTTATGGAGAGCCCTACCTGTTGTATTATTACAACTAGTAAAAGAGAAACGATAAAAAATTATGCCCGATTTTTTCTTATAATATTTCAATACTAAGACCCACTTTTATTATAAGTCTCATAAGAACAATTATACAAATCGTTATTATTGTTAGAAATAGTTAAGTATAATACTTTGTCACTTTAGTTGTATATAAGATGATCTTTGCGTTGCTACACAGATCAATCTATGGCCACATACTAGTTCTAAATTATATAGTATTTAAAATAATTATACTTGAGATTAGTGATAAGTATTAACATCACGTTATAACACTTATAACGGTATCGCTAATCATGCAGCATAAGAAGTTACAGTTAGTCTTTGATTTATGTACCCGTGCTCAAAAATAGCAGAGGCAATCACGTGAATACACTTTCGGTACTTTATTATAATCATCATTTTAGTCATGTATAAAGAACGAATGAATTAATGATAATTCGTTTTGTTTCCTAAATAAATGAATATAAAATAAATGGATATAAATGTATTTTTTCATGCAATTTAAAATGGCAAACAAGCTGACGACCCGCTTGATGAAAAGCGGTACCTGTCGCCTATAGTCATGAGCAGTACCATTGACATAACATAGTATAATGTTTCGCTCATGATACCCCCTATTCCTTGTCATTCCTGAGGACTCAGATGTTATTCCTCTGTACCCTATAAATTCACTTCCATATCCCACTCTTCAAACTGAAACACAGCCGTGCAAACATAACTGCATCATAGTAGAAACACGAATGGAACAGAGGTGCCCAAGCAAACAACTTTTGTATAAAGTCTCCCTCTGGTAATGTAAATGTTAAAAAGCAGTATATAATTTCATATTTTTTTTCTATATTGATGTTTCTCGTGGCTTTATTATATATAAATCGCGGAAAAGGGATAAACTCTATCAGGTCGACCTCCCCGTGATTCTTCTGAAAACTATCCCGCTGAATTCCAGTTGTATTCATCACGATGGGTTAACTGACCTGCCTTTTCATTTTCACCTATCATCCATCACTGGTGTCCCGCCAGCGGATACCGTTAGCGTAGGCGGAGTTACCATTCCATTATCATCCATTAAATATATATGCATGTATAACTCTGTATATAAAGCATCCTATATTTTAGGTTTGGAAATCATCTTTCCGTGTACTAAACTAAATTCGTTCAGTTGATTAAGCGTGATTGAGTAACAGACATACAAATTATTATTTTTTATTATTTCAGCCATTAACTGTCCACTGCGAGGCATAAGTCTTCCCTATAAGGGGAGTTTTGCCAGTAGTTGCCACGAATGGCAGGCGTGTTGGCAATCGCAGTTAGGCTTTTAGATATGTTTTAAGAGGGACGGCTCCCTTAGTCGCCTCTTGCAATACCAACGAAAAAAGAAGGGGTGGCTCATTCTATGCCAGGCCATACACGACGACATACAAATGTACTTACACATTTAAAAAAAATTGCATTTATAATATTAAAACGATTGACTATTCAGATTCATTGTAGTACAATATACTTATAAATAAATAGTTAACTAGATATGGTAAACATCTTAAATTGTTCATATGTGTATTGCATACACTATAGATCTAAGCACGCAAGCCACATCATTAGAATATATTTTACTAACAAACCACATGTAGGCCGGTCGTCTGCGAGAAATCGTTGCCGTTACGAATTCGATTCCAATGCAAATCGTATGGTATGCGAGTGAAAATACATTGCGCGCTGTTTACAATGTAGACGTGTAAGTAGCCCGTACAGATGATTGACGCCTAATAATTATTAATCGATGTAAATCGAATAAAAAATTTTATTACATATTATGGTTTTATTGCACATGTTTTCACTAAGCACTTTTATATTAATTAACGATATGTTTCTATCATATTTGTTCCCTTAAAATTGGCTCACTGATAATATAATTAGTAAAACAATGTCTTGGTACTCCCTTATGGACTCTCGCGATACAGGTTCGCTTAGTGCGGAGTCTAATGTACTCATGTTGTATAATTCTTGTGTTTCATAAAAAATAAAGATTAGTTTTATACAAAAAAAAACGAACAGACAAAAAAATAGACAACCACAGTAAGTTCGTAAAATTTCCGTTGTGCATAATTATGTATAGAAATTGTTTTAACATATTGTTTAGATATTACGGTGTAACCCGTAAGCTGCGGGGGGGGGGGAGTTATTGTTGGCAATGGAGTTTGACAGCCCCATTGCCAGCAATATGCCCTAATAGGTCGACCTCCACGTGGTATCCCCTGGAAATCATCGTGAACAATTCTTGTTGAATTCGTCACGATGAGCTAACTGACCTGCTTCATCCTCACCTATCATCCTTCACTGGTGCCCCGCCGATGTATTCCGATAGCGCAGGTGGGGTTGCCATTTCATTATCACCCATTAAAAAAAAAAAACTCGTAAGCTGCAACATTTGAAGCAAGTCGGTGAATTGAGATAACTCGACTTCTAAATATTAACAAAGTTACATTTAATTCTAATCCATTCGATTAACATCATTGAATAATCAACATTCAAATATGTTTAAAAACTTTCACATTTACTATCATAATATCAGTAGGGTTTGTAAATAACCTATTGAGTAAAACACGATATAGATACTAGACTGAAAACAAAACATAGTTGCAGTTTGTCTACAACATAGTAGTATTATATCTATAATATTTCTAGCCATGTTAACCTGAATTGTTAATAAACCTAGCCACATATTTGCAAATGTTTATATTATAACATATCAAATTTCTAATTAGCATTATCAATCAATTAGGTAATTTCCTACAATGTCAATATTATGTATTGTAATGTAATATAAAAATATCATAATAAAAATTGTATATACTTCGATCATGTCACATAAGGAAATGAATCTTGAGTGCTCCTGGTTGTACCTAAAAGGTAAATTAGAAATTTGGTATTATAATTTTATTTATGCTAAGCTAATTCTTGCGTAAGTTCATTAACATGATGGCAAGTATCCCGTCACTGCTTTGTACCCCGATATTTCCTTACTTCCCATCATCTTGCTATCTGGCAGATGCTATGTGGAAGGAACTTGACACACATCAATACAGGTTCTTGCTCATGCATCTATACTAAGTATATGAAATAAACACAAACAAACTGTAGTAAATAATACAAAAGGTGTGTTAATTTTATACCACTGAGGTGAATAAATATATATAATATATAAAATATGGAACACTGTATTCTATAGCTATAAATATATAAATATTGATTATAAAATTATATATATATCTACGTGAGTAAACTCGTTAATTTACAAACACCTAACTTCGTTAGTCACGTTACATTAGAATAATTGACGTGCAATAAAACTATGCCAATTGCAGCAATGTAGTGTTATTATTCCAATTATTTTATTAAAATATTAATTTTAATTATAATTTTTTTTATATTATACAGAATTGTTACGATTATTTGATGCAAATTATTATTTACGTTCGCGTGTACTTAAGTCATTCTTTACTACACGCATTGTGATCGTGTGATTGATTGCTGAAATTGTCTTATTGATGTGTATTTTATGTAGAATCACCTAACATTGCTGCGACAAAATAATGAAAGGATAAAAATTATTTATGACAGTTGTTAATATAATTTATGCATAGATAATGCATAACTCTAAATAACAATCTTTATACGTATCAATAGTATAATAAATAATCTGTGGCAGATAAATACTTAAATAAAATTTAATACAGTTTATTGTTAAGCACATTATTTGAGAATAGATGTAATATTTCTGAATTTTTTTATAATATTCTAAATAGCCAAATTGAGATTTTTGGAAAAAGAATTTTTTTTTTATGGGTGAAAATGGTATGGTAACCCCGCCTGCGCTAACGGGATACACTGGCGGAGCACCAGTGAAGGGTGATCGATGAGAATGAAAACGGGCCAGTTAGCCCATCATGATGAATTCATCAGGAATTAACCATGATAGTTTCCAGGGAGTCCCGCGAGGAGCTCGACCTGGTTGGGTATATTGCTAGCAATAGGATTCTCAGTCTCCATTACTAACAATCCCTTTCCCCCCAAGAAATGTAATTTGGACAGGATAACATATAATAATATCTGTCAGATCATCACTTGACAGTTAAACGAATTTAGCTATATTTTTAAAATAATTGTAATAAATTAACCGATAAAGTATGCAGAGAAGAAAAAAAAAAGAAACAGGAATGTATACAGGATAACGGCTGTCGAGTCGTGTAGTCAAAATAGAAATCAAATACTCCGCACTGGCAGTTTGATTACAGGATGATACACATAAAGGAAATATAAAAGCATACGAGGATGTGGATAATTACATAAAATCCGGAATGTTATGATTAATGAGCTTAATTAATGAACATTGTATAGATACTTACACAATAAACAATCCAGCAGAAACGATCAAATCAAGTTTAAAGTACGGTATCCAATTTAAAGTCGCATGCACAAACTGACACGATTTGCAATATCAAAACACAACACTGACCACTAAAAATCTCCGCTGTTTGGAAAGAAAACAATTGAAATTTTCAATTTGAATTTAGAAGTTCCGAAATGCACGTACGCTTTTCATTCACTGCGTCTGGCGTCCGAACAACCGCGAGTCTACTTTCGAACTGATTCAAGATTCTCTGATTTTCTGAACGCCGACGAAGCAATGTACGCCAACTGCCTTGCGAGGAATGCCGCGCTACAAGTTCGGCTTGGCTATTTTTTTTACATGCCTCAAACTGGTACCTATGTACTGTCAAAAGAGAGATAAGAAATAAGGGTCATCGTTGCTTTTCAATTTATCGAATTGAACAATGAAAGAGGCCCCTTACATTGTTACTTCTCAGTCTTTTGCTATCTTAACTGCAATTTAATTGTTTAGATCATTACAGTTGTTTAAGATTGAATGGAATTAATTCTTTTGCTAGATATATTTCGTTGTGATCATAAGTTTCGGATTGTGAGTTTATAAACTGAATACTTACATAGATTTCAGTACAGTATTAGTATTTTTTTATATTTCAGTGTACTCATTTCTATTCTCAGTTGCTATTAATATCACTACAAACAAATCAATAAATAAATATGTTCTAGTTACTGGCAAAATTATCCGTCTTTAATGTTTTTACAACTTGATAATGTATTTAAAACGTCTATTGATCTGAAAAAGCCAGGAGTAATACTAGACTCCTAGATTTTTGAACCTTTTAAAAATACTGTTAATTAAATATTTTTAAAAAGAACTTATTCTTCGAATTCCATTTCTACATGAAATTGCAATTATTATATCGAGTCCGCCACTTTAAAAAGCCAAGATCTGTTAGTTTTATGAATCTCTTTATTTAATAACTCTGTTAAGTTTTTAGCATAAAATTTATTTCAAATACAAATTTCAATAAAAAACTAACACTGACGGAATCTCTGATACTGTATTCTATTAGCACTTGACAGTTACATTTTTTGTCTGAACATTACATCGAAGACTACCTTCTAAATAAGGACTCTATATATACTGCTTACATGTTCCGTTACGGGACAACTAGTAAGATACCCAAGAAGGAATGCGGAATCATTCTTGGGCACATCCTGATGATGTAGTGGATCACAAAAATGGTCATAAATCTTTTTGTAACATAAATCAGGCACTAACTATACAATGTAGACATATTTTAATGTGTTTAAAAATATAAATAAATAAAAGTATAAATAAAGTTATTCTTTTATTTGTACAATTGTTTTCCGAAATATATATTCGATATTTGTAAGTATGATGAACTGAGGCATGAGTAATGCAAAATTAAGAATAATGTAACAAAGTAAATAGGTACATATGAGTATGTGTGTTTACATTTGTCCATGATTCGACTTACCAAATACCAACCGCTGCGATTTACCAAAAAACAGCACCTACACTTAATCACACTGTACTATAATTTGAGCAATTTGAGCAATGCTCGTTATTCGCTATTTCAACATGAGAACGGAGTGGTCAGAATAACCACTCAATTAAAACTAGGCTACTTATGCCTACTAGTAGGGTTATCAACAATACACATAAATATATTATTAAAAATGTTTTAATGAATAAAATTTATATAAAAATTCGAAATATTTTTTTTTATAAAGATAATTATATATATAATATATTATATATATATATATATATATATATATATATATATATATATATATATATATATATATATATATATATATATATATATATATATATATATATATATAATACCTAAAATAGCATTGTCCACGTGGATAGTCTGAAACACAGCTAGTAATGATAATAATATCTACTACGACTCTACATAATTTTATTTATTTTTACTTAATTAATTTGAAAGATATATTATTATTTGTTTCTAAAAAAAAAAACCAAACGTTTTACATTTAGTTGTTCTTTTTAAGGCTGTGTATAGTTACGGTAATTTTTATTAATTAAATTTGTTTATAAATTACAGCGTTATTACAAATGTATTAGTTATTATCTACAAATATTAGCTATTAATTAAACATATTTAAACGTAATATGTTTTATGCAATTTAATATAAAAACATAAAATGGAAACCAAGCTGACAGCTTACCTGATAAAAAGTTATGACTCTCGCCTATAATCGTGAACAGTATGTGTACCATGGATGTCACTGTGATGCTAAAGATATCTCTCGTGTGTTGACTTTTCCTAAGGACTAAGGTATTATGTTACGTTATATAGGTATTATTTAGAAAGATATAAAATGTACCATCATATCAGCTGTTAACTGGTTACTATTGAATATAGACCTCCTTCTATTGGTGGGCATAGCTAGTAGTTTCCACGCTTGGCAGGCGGGTTGGCAACCGCAATTAGGCTTTTCAAGAGGGACGCACAGGAGAGGAAGGGGTGACTCATTCTATGCTGGGACTACACGGGAATAGGGGGAGGAGGAAGGGATTGTTAGTAATGCGGACTATTAGTCCCATTGCTATCAATATGCCCCATAAAGTCGACCACGTGGTCTCCCTGGAAACTATCGTACTGAATTCCTGGTATATTCGTCACGATGGGCTAACTACCCTGCCTTTTCATTCTCACCTATCACTCCTCACTGGTGCCCCGCCAGTTAGCGCAGGTGGGATAACCATTCCATTATCATTATTTAAAAAATAACATACGTCAATAAAACGTATAATATTATTTAATATGTATTTTAACATAAAATGACACAGTTAAATTAATCCACACGTAAATAAAATATATGTAACTTGCTTCATTAAGAAAGCGAAAACTGGCCGACATTGAAACACTTCAGGGTCTCAAGACTGATTTTTATTGTAGTTAATTGTAACTAGATTGACAAGTACATATTTTTTTTACGTTCGCATGGAATTAAAATTGCATTCACTAATAGAATGTGGTGTACTTGTGGTTGTTCGGAACGCAACTCTACCTATTTTAATTTGAAAATTCAAAATCACTAAATTAGCGAATGACAACGTGAAACAGTAGTAAACATTTTAAATATGTAAACTTTATGGTTTTAAACAATTAAAATGGCCTTAGCATTCCGCTTATATAGATAATATGTACACAGCATATGTATTTTCTTACATAAATGATAACGATTGCAATATTAGTGTTTTAAGGGATTTTATACCGTATCAATAGAAAAAAGGCTCTAGCAATCGCAAAACTGAATCATAATAAATACAATATTGAACTGACTTCAAAAAGAAAGAGGTTCTTAGTCCGGTTGTATTTTTTTTATGTTTGTTACCTCATAACTCAGTTAGTTCTACACCGATTTGTTATAAAATTCTCTTTTTATCTGAAAGAAGATTCAGCTAGTTAGAATTACATTAGGAACTATACGCTGTTTTGAATTCGATATTATATATTGAATAATCGACATCTAATATATCTGTTATTGGGCAAATATATATGTAGATATTGCAACTCCAATATATAGATATTGCTATACATTACCCACCCTTAGTTCTAAATATAAAAATTATATCTCCCCTATATTACATTCTACCTACCATAAAATATTGCAATATGACGCTTTTAAAACCCCTTAAAATGACGACAAAACTCAGCGTATCAAAAGATAGAGTCCCCAGTATTTATATTCCGAACCATATGATATTCGTGTCGAAAAGTGTTATTCCAATTTTCGCTCCCGTTATGTCGATAGCTACTACAAATAGCATGCAAATTGCTTGGCGATAATGTGGCAAATGAAGCATGACTCACGATGATGGGATACGGCTTAAATATAAGCGGTCGCGGAAATTTGTGTTGTATGTATATAACATTTTATTAGTTATTTTTAAATATATAATTTATTTTAAATATAATATTTATAAATTCGAATATATATAGATTAATTTGACTTTTTGAGACTTTTTAATCCTACTAATATTATAAATGTAAAAATTTTAAAGATTTTTTGTTTGTTACTTTGTTGTTTGTTTTTTGATTGTTTGTTACTGAATTACTCTAAAATGACTGAACAGGTTTGAAGGAAATTTGATACATAGATAGATAACCTATTTAAAACATAGGTTACTTTACACATAAGTTCACGTGACCAAAGCAGTGAAAAATAAACAGAATATAAGATTATTATCATTATGTTTAAAAGGAGAGCGAGAGATGGGCAGCAGCGTCCTTCTTAAAACATCTCTAAAGCTTAACTGCGGTTGCTAATCCTGCTGACAAGCGTGGCAACTACTGGTAAGACCTACTTAGCAGTAAACAGTTAAAGTCTGATATAATGATGATGATGAAGAATAAATATTATTTTATGGATTTGTTTTAAGACATGGATGTTAAAAATTTTAAAAATGATATACTAATTAAACAAATTTCTTAATATAATTCTTTAATTTTTTTATATGTAATACACGATAACATAATTATAATAATAATCTTTAAATGCTATCGAAGATCAAGAACTACAAAGTATAATAAAAAAGTGATTTATTATAATTATATACAGATATTGATCATCATCGTTGTTATAATAATTGTTAATTATCCATTGCTGAATATAGACCTCCCCCTATTAATGGTTTTGCCAGTAGTTACCACGGTTAGCAGGCAGGTTAGTAATTGCAGTTAGGGTTTGATAATGTTTTAAGAGGGATGCTGCTGCCCATCCCTCGACCAATAATTTTCCTCAGTCACCTCTTATGACATCCACGGAAAAGAAAAGGATGACCCATTCTATACCGGTACCATACGGCTATATATGTATTTATATATATATATAAATAAATTTATATAAAAACTTTCTAAAAATAACATCTAGGTAATATTACTGATTACAAAAGTATGATAACAGAGAAGTTATCGCTGAATAAATTGAATATAATATTATATATAGATATTTTATACATTCTTTTACTTCTTACGTGTTATTCCTTATCGCTTACAGGTACATTTTACGACGGTATGCGGCATTTGCGCACGTCTGCGTCGACAACCGCGGCAACTTTCCAAACCAAAATGTTCCTGTGTTTTTGTTATTAGACCAATGCAACTGCATTTGGTAGTAGCTTCTTTTAAATGAAGTGATAAACGATAACTTCCGTTGTTGATTTATTCAGTTTATGATACGTGAAGTGTTGACCTTAATTAAAATGATAGTCATGGAAAACGATCCGTAACACCGCAGGCCTCGA